ATTTCGAGATATCTTACTCTGGTTTTCTAATTTTATACTTGGGCTGATATTTCTATTGTGTGTTTTCTTCTATTGACATAACCGAGTTTTATGATTTTTCATGTTTGATAAGTGAAAAGTATTTTTAGTTTAGTTTTTACTGGTTAAAATTTTGTGGTTCATCAGGTGAGTATTAAATTGTTGGACAGCGCAAGATACATTTGATAAGTTTAGATAATGGAGTTCAGCTTCAGACACATGACCTGGCAGTGGAACTAGGAGGTGCTGTTTAAAAAGGGGACTGTTATAAAATTGGGCTAATGTTTTAGTTTTTTAGTATACTAAATAGTTTTTTGGTTCCTCTATTAGAAGGCTTAATCAATTTATTTGTGAGGTCTGTATGTCTCAGACCTCAAAACGGGGACTGTTAAAGAAAAATTATTATTTTTTAGACTTTAATACAGTTAATCTTATGGCACGTGTAAACACTCTCACTTGAACATATTTCTTAATTTTGAATAAGGCTGTGTTGATGATTTAAAACTACTACAGGTGCTGGTCATAAAATTAGAATATCATGAAAAAGTAGATTGATTTCAGTAATTCCATTTAAAAAGTGAAACTTGTATATTATATTCATACATTACATACAAACTCATATATTTCAGATGTTTATTTTGTTTAATTTTGATGATTACAAATGACAACAAATGAAAATCTCAAATTCATCATATCAGAAAATTAGAATATTGTGAAAAGGTTCAAAATTGATGGCCCCTGGTGCCACACTCTAATCAGCTAATTAACTCAAACCACCTGCAAAAGCCTTTAAATGGTCTTTCAGTCTAGTTCTATAGGCTACACAATCATGGGGAAGACTGCTGACTTGACAGTTGTCCAAAAGACGACCATCGACACCTTGCACAAGGAGGGCAAGACACAAAAGGTCATCGCTAAAGAGGCTGGCTGTTCACAGAGCTCAGTGTCCAAGCACATTAATAGAGAGGCGAAGGGAAGGAAAAGATGTGGTCGAAAAAAGTGTACAAGCAAGAGAGATAACCGCACCCTGGAGAGGATTGTGAAACAAAACCCCTTCAAAAATGTGGGGGAGATTCACAAAGAGTGGACTGCAGCTGGAGTGAGTGCTTCAAGAACCACCACACACAGACGTATGAAAGACATGGGTTTCTGCTGTCGCATTCCTTGTGTCAAGCCACTCTTGAACCACAGACAGCGTCAGAAGCGTCTTGCCTGGGCTAAAGAGAAACAGGACTGGACTGCTGGTGAGTGGTCCAAAGTCATGTTCTCTGATGAAAGTAAATTTTGCATTTCCTTTGGAAATCAAGGTCCCAGAGTCTGGAGGAAAAGAAGAGAGGCACTTCATCCACGTTGCTTGAAGTCCAGTGTAAAGTTTCCACAGTCAGTGATGGTTTGGGGTGCCATGTCATCTGCTGGTGTTGGTCCATTGTGTTTTCTGAGGTCCAGGGTCAACGCAGCCACATACCAGGAAGTTTTAGAGCACTTCATGCTTCCTGCAGCTGACCAACTTTTTGGAGATGCAGATTTCATTTTCCAACAGGACTTGGCACCTGCACACAGTGCCAAAGCTACCAGTACCTGGTTGAAGGACCATGGTATTCCTGTTCTTAATTGGCCAGCAAACTCTCCTGACCTTAACCCCATAGAAAATCTATGGGGTACTGTGAAGAAGAAGATGCAATACACCAGACCCAACAATTCAGAAGAGCTAAAAGCCACTATTAGAGCAACCTGGGCTATCATAACACCTGAGCAGTGCCACAGACTGATTGACTCCATGCCACGCCGCATTGCTGCAGTAATACAGGCCAAAGGAGGCCCAACTAAATACTGAGTGCTGTACATGCTCATACTTTTCATGTTCATACTTTTCAGTTGGCCAACATTTCTATAAATCCTTTGTTTTTATTGGTCTTCAGTAATATTCTAATTTTCTGATATGATGAATTTGAGATTTTCATTTGTTGTCATTTGTAATCATCAAAATTAAACAAAATAAACATCTGAAATATATGAGTTTGTATGTAATGTATGAATATAATATACAAGTTTCACTTTTTAAATGGAATTACTGAAATCAATCTACTTTTTCATGATATTCTAATTTTATGACCAGCACCTGTAATGGGTAAGTATTTAGAGCACCAGGCAATAGAATGAGTATCTCCTGGGGGGTGAATAACAGTTAAGCCTGCAGGAGAGATTTCTGCTTGGTTTACAGAAGGTCAAAAGTCTTCCAGAATAAACAACCAGGGATGGTGTGAAACTGAATCAGGAAAAAGGCCCCCGCATTCCACAAGCTGTCTGTGGAAGCTTATCTTGTGTTTTATGACTTTAAGAATTCTAGATGCCAGGACAAGCTTTCCGCCTTTTCTTGTTAAAACAAAGAAGCAAATGACCCCAGATGTTTGCAGTAAATTAGGTAAAGTTTTAGGCAGTGTCAGAGATGGCTTTTGGTTGGAGGACCGAGGGCCAGCCCTTTTTGAATGGATTAGATACAAGAGGATAAAGCTTTCTAAATAGAAGTTACAGATCAGATTTGCCCTTGCAACTCTCCAAAGATGTCTCTGTACTCTTTGCTTTCTTTCCTCCTATGTCAGGTAATGGAATGTATGTCTCTGTTGTTCTGCAGTTTTGTTGTTAATTCATAAGTTGTTTTTTGTTGGATTAAATTCTGTGATTCTGTGACGTTCGCATATCTTGCTGGTTTTCCTTGGGGGCCACACGCAGCTCGCTGAGCGCACCTGGGAGAGGAAGAGAAACACCCAACCTTTTTCCAAAGTTAACTATTTAGAATATTTTCTTCCTTAACAACGGTCAATGGACAGCTCCACTCCTCTCCAAGTGTATAAGACATTTGGCTGAAGACCAAAAGCTGTGGCTACAAAATCGATCATTGACCTCCAGCAGAGACTTTCCCACTACAAAGTGCACTGAAGGATATTCTTATTATTGGACATGATGTTCATTACTGACAATCCATGGCTTGTACAGAATTCCAATGATGGAACACCACTCAGAGCTGGGGGTTCGTTTCCCCCCTACCACAACCCTCCAGGTGTCACTGTCATTTCCCATACGAGTGTTGAAGCCCAAAGAAGAATGACCAGATCCCTGAGAGGGGCTCCCATGCACCCATGCAAGGCAGACTAATGGTGCGTTCACACCAAATTTGTTAAGAGCGTCAAAAACATTTAACGCCAAAATTTGGATGCTGCGTCAAACGCTGGTCGAGATGTTTAGATGCTCGGCGCTCTGGTTGTTTATCTGCTCTGTACTTTCGTTACAAGCTGGGGAGCAGCTTGGCTTTATTTACTTTGCTGAATTTGAAAAAAATGGTTTTAACAATTTTGAGCAACAAATTCCACCTCCAAACATCACCTGTGCGGTTAGTTCATCAGGATCATGATCCAGCTAAAATATGCAGTTCTTTTTTGGAGCGTCAGACCTCCAGCATAACAGCGGACAGCAGCGCTGGGAATCCCAAATGAAAGCGCTCTGAAGCGGCCAGCATATCGGGGATTTCCTGCTACCGTTCGTAGAGGCTGGAAGTGAATATGGTTAAATATGAAGGTTTGTGGTAAAAAATGCAAGAAGTACCAGAATATAAAATCTAACATTTTTAGTTTAATTTGGGTATTTATAAACTGTTTCACCATTGTTCATAGGATCATAATGATCCGAGCTCCACTCTTTTCCTTGAACATAATAAACCATTCTCCTACTTATTTTTTTTAAAGCTTTGGAGTCCAACCCCTTCATATTTATTTTTAATATGCAGGCAGCTCTGCAGAAGGTCCTGGATCAGCTTTACTTATAAGTGGACATTCCGTAAAAGTAAACAAAAAATCCACTGGACTTGGTTTCCAAGGTTTGAGGACGTTTCGCTCCCTCTCCAGGTTTCTCAATTCAAATATCTGGATCCACAGTGAGTTTGAGGCTTTATATAGACAAGGCCTTGTATTGCTTGGAAAAAAGCAAATGGAAACTGATGAGTGGGTTGTTTGGTTCCATTGTTAGCCTGTAATACCTGAAACCTGTCTATGATTCTGTAGGTCGGTCGTTAAAGAGGGGGATTGTCTCCTATAATACCTGAAACTTGTCTATGATTGTTAAGGGTCGGTCATTAAGGAGGTATTGTTCACCAGCTGGAGCTGGTAGGTCCCTCGTTCCTCTGTGATGGGGTGGGGGGTGTGGTGATATCTGGATGTTATCATCTGTATAACTGAATTGAAAGTTTTTGGAAGCTGGAATCTGAATCCACCACCTCTGTTTAAAGTTGGTTTTTCTCTCTTAACATAGATGGCTTCCTTCACGCCCCTCTCAAACCACCTATTTTCTTTATCAAGAATGTGAACATTCTGGTCCTCAAAGAATGTCCTTTGTCCACAAGGTGTAGATGTACTGCAGATTCTTTTCCAGAGGAGGGCGCTCTTCTGTGTTGGGCCATGCGTCTGTGGAGAGGTTGTTTGGTTTCTCCAATATAAAGATCAGAGCATTACTCGCTGCACTGAACAGCATATACCACTCCGCTCATTTGAATTGAGAGGAGTGGTATATGAGACATTTGAATTGAGAAAGCTTCTTGGAGAGGCGGCGAAGCGTCTTCAAATCTTGGAAACCAAGTCCAGTGGATTTTTTTGAACTTTTACGGAATGACTATCACCTGGATGACTGAGAATCTTCATCAGCTTATAAGTGGACACTGCGTCAAGCTGCACAAGTGTTCAATTCCTTAACTCCAGTGTGGAACCCAGGAAGCTCTGATGCTGGGACGCCAGGACGCTCCTACACTTCGCAACACTCCTGATGCAGGATCTCTAGACACAGCTACACTTTGCAAGCTTTGATGCCCAGAAAGCGATGGGTGTGAACCATAAGGGTTACAGCAGAGAGGCCTGCTGATGGTGGTGTAGGAGGTAAGGTGTAGAGCTCTTTGAGTTCAGAATGCTCTAAAAGATAAACGACTGCTGTATTCGAGGAGTGCTCAAGGATTGTGTTTAATTAATTAATTTTTTCCCTTCTAATTTGACATTATTGGAGAACCATCACATTTAAACATTTTGAATTGATCAACACAAAGTTAAGGGAACTTTAGGTATAAAGCATAGTAAAGTCTATTTCCGTTTTTCATTGTGACGTAACTAGTGTTCAAGGATCTGATGGATTCAGGGCAGGGTTTCCCTCCATCTGGTGACTCTGCGAGGGATTCCCGACAGGATTTTCCTCCATTTGGTGACTCCTGGAGGGATCCAGGACAGGATTTTCTTTCATTTGGTTACTCTGAGATGGATCTAGGACAGGGTTCCCTTCCATGCGGGGACTCTGAGAGGGATCCAGGACAAGGTTTTCCTGAATCTGAGAGGGAACCAGAGCAGGGTTTGCTTCCATTTTGCGACTCTGAGATGAATCTGGGACAGGGTTTTCCTGAATCGGGTCACTCTGAGAGGGATCCGGGACGGGGTTGTCTTCCATTTGGTGACTCTGAGATGAATAAAAGACGCGATTGTCCTCGGTTTGGTGAGTTTTCATGTGAGTTTTTAGACAGTGGCTTTGGGTGAAGGCTTTATCACAGACATTGCACCTGTAGGGTTTGAGTCCGTTGTGGGTCCTCATGTGGACTTTCAGGTGTTCCCTTCTGGAGCACTCTTTCCCACAGACCTCACAGACAAACTGTTTGATGCCTCGGTGGATCTTGATGTGGCTGTCCAGGTTGGCCTTCTGTTTGAAACGGCGGCCGCACTCTTGGCACTCATACGGAGCATCGTCAGAGTGAATCCTCATGTGTTTTTTCAGGTCGCATTTGACCCAGAAGCCCTTGCTACAGACGGCGCAGACGAAGGGCCTCACATTGCCGTGAGTTCTGAGGTGAACCATCAGCGTTCCTTTCCAGAGGAACGTTCTGCAGCAGATGTGGCAAAGGAACGTCCGATCCCTCTCCTGGTGGGTCTTGCTGTGCACCTTCAATGAACCCTCGAGTTTAAAGCGCTTCCCGCAGATCTCACAGGCGTACTGCTTATCTTCAGAGTGGGTCAGCCTGTGCTGGGTCATAGCTCGGCGAAGGCGGAAGGACCTGTTACAGACGTCGCACACGTGTTTTTCCTTGTTAGTGTGCAGCTTTTTGTGGGACAAGAGATGCGATTCCAAACCGAATGTTTTGAGGCAGATATCGCACTTGTAGGGTTTATTTTCCACATGAAGCCATTTGTGATAATTCAGCGAAGCCAAATTTGTGAAGGTTTTACTGCAAACTTTGCATTTAAACGGACTCTCCCCTGTGTGCTTGGCAATGTGGAGGTTGAGGCTCTGGATGGAGACAAACGTCTTCCCACAGTGTTGACAGCTGTGGACGTTTTGGTGATTTCTAAGGTGTTCTTTCAACTCGTCCACAGACGCAAACTTCTCTCCACAGGCGCCACAGACGGCCTGAGGATCGCTGGCGTGATTCCAGACGTGGCTGATCAAGCTCCCTATCTGTCTGTACCACGCTCCGCACACTTTACAAGATATTTTACTTTCCACGGTCCTTTTCTTTACACTGTTCTCCTTCTTCTTTTTTCCTCTTTTCCTGGGAGTCTGAGGTTTAGGCTCAGGGTTCCAGTTGTCATCTTCAGCTTCATTATCAGGGTCTGCGCTGTTTTCGCCCGCCTCCATTACGTCCATACTTTCAATAGGGCTGCAGATGGAGGAAATAGAAACAACTTACCATTATGCGAACATCCGGCTGCACAAAATGAGGAAAACCTGCAACATTGGTACTGAATGTTGAGACTAAAACGAATTTAAAATGACTTAAAATAGAGAACTTTGCCAGAACTACCCTTTCTTTCACACGGCGTCATGCTTAGCACATGAACTACCTTGAACTACAAGGCCTGGCTGAACTATGACTACATTTGCTCCCCTAATTACCCATAAAATGTGATAAAACTGATCATACAACTTCGTTTTATTTACCTTTCTTGGACCCTGGTGTCGTCGCCCGTCATGACCACAGGGTTGACTGAAGGACCGTCGTCCATTTTCTAAAACAAAAACGGTCAAATAATTAAATACAGTTTAAATTTGACCCTTTATGCATTAGGGATGGAACGGTTTATGAAAACCATCCGAACCGTTCGGTTCTACTGTCTCGGTTCGGTTCGCGTGTGTTGCGTTCGGTTCATGCGCTGCTCCTTTTTCTCATAGGCGAAGCGTTTACACTCCAGAGCAGAAGGTGGCGGTACTGCGACCAAAGCCAACCACCAGTAGTAAACAAGAAGAAGAAGAAGCGAAGCAGCGTAGCCGGGTGTAGCAGAAAAAAATCAGTTGTTGTGGAGAATTGTGTGGGTATGGTGAGTGGGAAAGAACAGGAGCACTTTATAGGTCTGCTGTATGGGACCACTTTGCATTTAGAGTGACCTACGATGACGGCGGAAAGAAAGTTGTGGATAAAAACAGTGTGCAAGCATTATGCAACACGTTTTGTTTATGCTAACAGCAACACGACCAACATGTCAGGCTAACAATCAACACATACCGAACCGAACCGAACACCGTGACCACGAAACCGTTAACCAAATCGTGGATTTTGTGAACCGTTCCACCCCTATTATGCATTAACTTCTTAGTATGTAAATTCAACTGAAAATACAGGATTTTCTTTTCTTTTTTCCCAGCAAATGCTAATTACAGGATGCATGTGCAAGTGGATGCACACTGACAGGATACAAGTGTGTCGGTCAAAAGAACCTGAAAAAAGAACATTCTGGGGTTTTTTGTCCTTAAATAAAGAGATCATTTTGAAGATTGTGACACATTTGTAAAGAGATAAAAGGCCCCAGAAAAGTCTAACCTTCCCATCGCTAAACATATCCATGTGCTGTGGATATGAATGTTGACTCTGAGTTAATGAAACAGTTGATATACAGTCCGCTTTCTGTTTTAAATGATTCTGTTAAGACATCTACGCCATGAGATAAGCCCTGCCCCCGAAATTGCCATATTTGGTGTGGCTCCTGCTGAGATGGTGATATCTGGTCCACAATTAGATGTCATTGCATTTTCATCCCTATTGGCCAGATGTCTCATTTTGCATAACTGGAAGTCAGAGGCCTCCCACATATAGCTGCTGGGTCGAGGATGTAATGATTCAATTAAAACTCGAGAAAATGAAGCACAAGATCAGGGGATCAACCCGGAGGTTCTATAAAGTCTGGCAGCCGTTTCTAAATTATTTTCACTTACAATTCCCTGTTGGAAACTCTGGGACATAATTAAGTCATAGACTCTGTAACCCTACTGTAACATGTCGATATTATTTTCATTTTATTATTTTTTGTAAAAAAAAAATTTTTTTTTGACAGTGTTATTGGAGTTTATTTTTAATATAGGGGTTATTGTTTGGCTGTTATTTTATATGAACAATTCAAAATCCAATAAAAATATTTGAATAATAAGACATTTACGCCATAACAGCAACAATAATGTCAGATATTGATGTCAACCTGATGATGTTTAGTTTTAGATTTTTTCTTCTGATGTTTCAAAGGGAGAAAAGTGGCCTGTTGGATCATTTAGAGACAGAAATCACTTAACATTTTAGAAGAATCCTGGGGAATTCAGGGGAGTAGTGGCCTAGTGGTTAGAGTATAGAGCTTGGAATCCTGAGGTTCTGAGTTTGAGCCCCACTCCCACAGACTGCCACTCTGGGTCCCTGAGCAAGACCCCTTAACTCAACACTACTCCTCAAGGGGATGGGTTAAAATACAGAGAGTGAATTTAGTTGCTCTGTACTTGTTAAAGTGTAATGAAAAGTATTAGTTCTTAAAAATGACGATACTCCATCTGTAAAAACAGCTGATTGGAAACAACCCCAAGCTAATCACACTGTTCAAGCTCTAAGCTAACGTGATTTGCCAACTTAAGGCTTGTTACATAACAACACTGTATTACCTCGCTTTTTATTGAGTGCAGTTTAGTTTTATGTTTACACATCGTTGTTGATGCGGTTGTGAAGGTTATTGAGGTGCGTGCATCTGTCTTCCATCTTTCCCTTCCTCTTCACCTTATACACCACTGACTTTCAGTACAATTCTGAGTCATGTCACCTGCAGAAGTTTTCTGATGACTCAGCTGTTGTAGGGTGTATAAGAGAGGGAGAGGAGGGGGAGTACAGGACACTGGTGGACAACTTTGTGGAGTGGTCCGAACAGAACCACCTGAGGCTGAATGTCAACAAGACCAGAGAGATGGTGATTGACTTCAGGAGAGAGAAGAGGTCTTCACAGCCACTACGGATTAGGGGGGAGGTGGTGGAGGTGGTGGAGGACTATAGATACTTGGGACTGATAATTGACAATAGACTGGACTGGAGGTCTAACTCTGAGGCTGTGTACAAGAAGGGGATGAGCAGACTCTATTTCTTGAGGAAGCTGAGATCCTTCAATGTGTGCAGCAAGATGTTGGAGATCTTTTACCGGTCTGTTGTTGCCAGCACCATTTTCTTTGCTGCTGTGTGTTGGGGCAGCAGCATTAGAGCCAGCGACACCAACAGACTTGATAAAATCATCAGGAGGGCTGGCTCTGTACTTGGACTCAGGCTGGAGTCTTTTGAGACTGTGGTGGAGAGGAGAACGCTGAATAAACTCTTATCCATCACTGACAATGATCAGCACCCTCTCCACCACACAGTGGTCAGACAGCGGAGCACTTTTTCTCACAGGCTGCTCCAGCTCCGCTGTCGAAGGGACAGATACAGGAAATCTTTCCTACCATATGCCATCACATTGTACAATAAAAAATAAACTCTTGTTTCAGCATATAGTAACCAGCACTGTACTATACTGCACTCCATGTTTTTAATACTATACTATTTATAATATGTTCACTGCACCTTAGGACTGTTCACTGCACCCTTATAATGTAAATACGTGTGGATGTTATGTTATTTTTACTTTTTCTTATCTCATTGTGTTGTGACTGTCACTATGTGTAAAGCTGCTGCTACACTGCAATTTCCCAGCTTGGGATAAATAAAGTACATCTATCTATCTATCTATCTATCTATCTATCTATCTATCTATCTATCTATCTATCTATCTATCTATCTATCTATCTATCTATCTATCTATCTATCTATCTATCAAAACACCACAAATATGCAATATTTCATAATAAATTTATATTTTGTTGTAAGAAAGGTGATATTTCATCTTGTATATGCTCAGAGCTTTTCTAAGATGGCATGAAGAGCAGGATAAAGGAGTTTTAAAGACACCACAGCTACCTTCTTCAATATTACTTAAAAAGATTTAAAAAAAAGACAAATGTTTGAAACATATTAACCATAACAGAATATTTTCAGTGCAACCAGTTCCACCCAACAGAATCTAGTTTGTTTTATAGAACATCAGAAATGCCAGTTTCAGTAGAAAACCTGCTGATGTATCAGAGACTTTAGAATCAAAGACTGCAGGGTTCTGTGGTTGAGTCGGACCTTCAGACGGATGTAGAGCGTCGGGTTTCCACTGGACCTGTGGCTGGAGCAGATCTCCTCTGGGGTCAGAGTTTTCACCGACAGAGGCAGCAGCTGTCTGTTTTTAGCAGCTATGAAGATGTCAAAGGGCTGACCAGCACCCAGCTGAGGGAAGGTGGACCTCAGCAGGTTCATGAAGTCCAACTCCTGCAGCCCACGAGGACACTCCAGGTCCGAGACGCAACTTTTCTGAAACACTGAGAAAAAGGAAACATGAGGAATGACGAGGCATCCTTCTGTCGGCCAAGAAGCTACTGTCGGTGTTTGGGCCTTACCGGTCCGAGAGAGAACCTTGGTCTCAGAGTCCTCCAGGATTCGGATCCTGAGAGTCAGATTGTTTGGAGGGTTACTGGTCCTGGTTCTGCTGGATCTTCTCCCTGCAGATTGGGCCTTTAAGGGAACCGACCTGCATCAGGACGACAAGTTGGACTCTGATCAGCTGGACGTTTCACAGACTTTAAAAACTAAACAAGAAATACTTTTCTAGGGCTGAAAAGATGAATCGGCTACTGAAATAATCATCAACTGTTTGACGATTGAATCAAAGCTTTTATCTAAAGCTAAACCCAGGTCACACCGCTGGCGGATGACTTTTTAATCTCTGATTAGATTTTTTCCATGTAACTAATTGCGTATAGAGAGGCTCCGGTTACGCAGGATGAGCAGATCTGTGCAGACTTTTTTTTTTTCTTTTTACTTCTGTCTTGCACAAACTGAAACAATTTTCCCAATTTGACTTTGAAGCATTATGAAAAGGTTTAAAGAATAAATAAGTAAACCAATGGCACAGCTATAAAGCAAAGCCTTGCTTAACTAGTCTGTGCAGCATCTCTAACCAGAACAGATAGAGAAATTCTATATAATTCTAACATAATTATATATAAAAGTTACTACAGCTGTGCAGACGACACACATCTGGATGTTACCATGTCATCAGCTGACTATCAACCCATTCAAGCTCCGGGAAAATGCAGGGAAGAAACCAAAACATGGATGGGAGGAAACATGGAAACGGCACGTTTGAAAATACACGGACTGACCAAACACACCCTGCGTGAACAGAGCCGATATGTTGAAAAATGACCAACATTGGCCAATACTGATGTTAATGCTGATACATCAGCCATTCCTTGTATTCCTTCTATATTTCTGGGATTATAGTTTCAATTTCAATGTTATTTTAATGGATTATAGTAGAAATTGGAAAAAGGCGCAAATATAATCCTAAAAGATTGACCAAAACCACTGTTAGGTTTATTCAATGATGATTATAAAATGAATGTATGTACATATAAACATTGAAGCAAGGAGATGCTTCACTCTTTCTTGTGATTCAGTCAGTGGAGCATCCTGTCTTATGACCTGATCATGTCTTCATCATCCACTCAGAGTATCACTGGTAGGCGCGCACACAGACTTTGTAGCTTGTCCGGTCAGTTAAAAATAGTAATTGTGAAATCCGTCTTGTAATCGGAAGCATACAAGCTAGTTAGCTTGAAAAGTAAATAAAGTTTCAGACGTGCTGCGTGATGATGTGTTCAGATTGGCTCAGTAAAACGACAATTAGGTTATCATGATGCGTTCAAGTGTAACGTAAAGAAAGGGGAAATTGAGTATTTTAGAATATATAATTACTGATGCCAACATTTATTAAAAATTACATTTAATTTAAAATACAATTATTTATTTGCTAAATATTTTCCCAATCACTAAAAACATTATGAAAAGTGACAGACATGTTAATTTTTCTTAAAAAAAAAAACAACTGTTAATTTATGAGCTGATATTTTATTTCCTTTTGTGTGACACGCATATTATTTATTTAATTTATATACATTATGACATTTTATTTTTCATTTGGTGCTGCTGATATATTCTAGTTAGTTTTATGTCATTTTGAAGTGGCCTATTACATTAGCCATGTTTATTGAAGGCTAGAATCGTTTTTGTTATGCTCACTTGTTAAAGGAATAGTACACCCAAAACATGATTAGCCTTCATTTTCTACTCACCCCCATGCTGAACAACACTCTGGAGTACTTTTTTGATATCTCAAATGCATCTGGAGATCTGGGGGGCTTCTTGCTGTCTGCTGACATTCAAATAATGGAGGTCTATGGCGCCCAAGGCAGAAAGGTCCATAAAAGTCCACAAAAAACGTGTCAATATTCCTCCATACTGCTCTTCCAATGTATTCCAAGTGTCCTGAGTGGGTAGCGTCCATAATTTACTCGAAACGAAGTCATTTAGAATGTTTTTAGAGCATAAACAGTAGTGTATAGGATTTCCTAAAAGCGCGTTCACGACGCTACGGAAGCCGGCAGACCAAACCAGATGAAAGTGCGCATTCAGCGTCTGCTCTGCCAATAACGCAAGCGTAGAAGAAGAAATGTGCTGTTTACCGGTGCAAAGAAAGAAACAACGAAAGAAAAATGTCTGAGGACTTCAGTGTTGAGGAAGAGCATGAGTTCTTTGCCGAGCTGAATGCGCACTTTCATCTGGTTTGGTCTGCCGCGGTTTCCGTAGCGTTGTGAACTCGCCGGCGCGCGCTTTCAGGAAATCCTATACTCTACTGTTTATGGTCTAAAAACATTCTAAATGACTTCGTTTCGAGTAAATTCTGGATGCTACCCACTCAGGACACTTGGAATACATTGGACAAGCAGTATGGAGGAATATTGACACGTTTTTTGTGGACTTTTATGGACCTTTCTGTCTCGGTCACCATAGACCTCCATTATTTGAATGTCAGCAGACAGCAAGAAGCCTCCCAGATCTCCAGATGCATTTGAGATATCAAAAAAGTACTCCAGAGTGTTGTTCAGCATGGGGGTGAGTAGAAAATGAAGGCTAATCATGTTTTGGGTGTACTATTCCTTTAAGCAATAAAAGCAATACCAGTTCTGTTAAAAACATATCGTAGCATCGTCTTTCCACCAAATAACAGAAAAGTATCGATAGTGGTATGGATGAAGACCCGGATCGATAAGGAGTATCGATAAAGGTATCGATATCAATAAAAATTAATGATCCCCATCCCTAGCAAGGAGGGGGGTCGGAGAGAGAGAGTTGGAGTGTTGGGTTTGGCTATTTCTCCTTCTGCAGAAGCTGCAGAATCCCCTTCTGTGTGAATTCAGTCCTTCATTTACGAACCTACATTTTTGAACCTAACAACCACTTTCCACCTTACCCTATTGTAGACAATGCTTGTTGAAGATAGAAAACATGTATACAGGTAAAATATTCAATAGTAAAGTAAAATAAATAGGATTTTCACCCTGAGAATATCCTAAAATGTTACTCCTAGCTTTTATTTGAGATGGTTCACCTTCAGTTGACAGTGTGCCCAATTGAACTTATTGCTGTAAAGCTGAGGCCAAATTGTAAAAAAGCTGTATAAATATGATTAATCTAAACTAAATCAGATCACAGAGAAGACGGATTTTTAGAGAAACATGTTTGTTCATGTCAGACAGTTGAAGAAATCTTATTGTTTTAATGTTTTTCATCTACAGATCCGGAGTGGTCGTTTATTTTTCATTAAAAGCCTTCGTCCTCTGCATCAGTAAAGCTTACTGGAACCCCTCTGCTCACTTAGACCCTGGAAGATGTTACCTTGAAGGTAATTCAAAGTCTGGGTCCGTCAGCTCTTCCTGTTTCAGTCTGGAGGCTTTTGGTGGCTGTTTATCATCGTCTCCATCCTCATCATCAGCAGCATCGTCATCGTTCAGAGGCACACAATGGATGTTGGATTCATCCACACCTAAACAAACAGCAGTTACAGCCTTGTTTGAAGCTGTGGGACTAGAAAGTTTTATTTTGCAGTTGAGTCCTACCTGTGTTCTTCCTGAGCTGCTCTTCCTCCACCACCTCAGAGCTTTGCAGATCTGAGAGCAGATCCAGGTACTTTAAACACGGCTCTAAAACTCTAACTCCAGCCGCTGACTGGATAAAACCGGCATCTACAGCTGACCTGCTTTCTGCTCCTTGGCCTGAGGCTGCAGGGCCTCCAGCTGCTTCCTCTGACGCTCGATCTCCTGCCTGAACCCTGAAGCCTCCTCCTCCAAGTCAGCTACGGTCCTCTGCACCACCTCCAGAACCTCTGTGGTGGCGGCGCTCAGCCTCTTGGTGATGATCCTCTTCAGGTTGCTGCTTTTGGACGAGTTGAGTCCTTTGCTGTAAAAAAAATAAAACACATTTTCTGTTTTGATTAAAACTTTTAGCAACTATGTTCACAGTGGAACACAGAAGTACCTAAAAAAAAAAAAGATCCATTTGTGTCATTCAAAAACTGAGTTCTTGTAAAATTAAAATTAAATCATAAAAAAAGAGAAATAAAACCCTGAGCTGCTCCTAGCATAAATCTGGGTCAATTGGAACAGAAGCGCACTGAGGACGTCGCCACGGCTCAGCTAGTCTGGAGCTTCATTTCACCTCCTGTTATGAATAGTACCTACATAATATTAGATTCAGACTTTTTTCATTTAGTGGGGAAAAATAATTATTTTTAATGTGGATCTTTGTTTCAGGGATAACTAGGATTATAAAAAACTGCTTTTTTTATGAACTATGTGTGTTCTCTACTTCCAAACTCAGCATCTCTTCATCCAGGCCTTCGATAAGAAGTTTCTTTTGAATGGATTTGATTAAACTTTTAAGCCTCTCGGTATAAAATAAATATTGCGATGGAGATGAGAAATCCTCTTCCTGATTTGTTGAAGAACCAATAGTTTGCATCCAATCTTTTAACTAAACAGCCTTAGATTCCGGGAATTTATAAGAATTATAATATAATGTGTAGTTTCTGATCTGTCGTTACCAGTGTTGGGCGCGATACTTTGAAAAAGTAATTAGTTATAGGTACTAGTTACTTCTCCCAAAAAGTAACTGAGTTACTAACTGAGTTACTCCACAATAAAAGTAACTAGTTACTAGTAAAAGTAACTATTGCGTTACTTTTGCGTTTCTCGCCCCCGTAACCCTCACCACCCGGCCCCCACCTTCTCGCCGTGTGTTTCCAAAGCCAGCTGAATAGAGCGGACGACAAAGACAAGAACCTGCAGAGAGTTTAGCATTTACTGCAACTCAACGTAAATGACATCAGGGGGGAACGCCATGTGAAGTTTTTTAACAGGGCATTCAGATCTGGTGAAATTAATAACTGGTGATGTCTAATTCTGAAATCCTGTGTGTTTGGGTTGTTATAGATACTGCAACATCTATCTATCCATCTATCTATCTAGATCTATACTCTGTGTGTGACATAAAATATGGATCTCCATCCCTGCCACAAAGGCCACCAAATAATGTTTAAAATAAAAAATACAGTAGGTTGAAAAGGCAGAGTATCCATCCATCCATCCATCCATCCATCCATCCATCCATCCATCCATCCATCCATCCATCCATATTTCTCCCTTTCATTTGATCGTTCACGCTCTCCATAGTTCTCCTGTTGCGCGCCTTTAGCGAGCATGCGCATTTCCTGTCGCTTGCGCGGTGACTCTTGCCGCCTGCGCTGTGCGGAGATGCAGAGGAAACCGTGTCTGATGGGGAAACGCAACTCGACGTAACACCGGTATTTCCATCAGGAAAACGCTGTTTTGCTGCTGGAGTCATCCTCACTCTCCATCTCTCTGTGTGTGCTGTACGTTAACACCCACCAGCGGAAACACCCACCTACCCAACTGACAGACGGAATCTCACTTTACATCAGCCATTCTCATCCTCCCCTCTCTCATGACAAGGCGCGCACCTCTGGATGACCTAAAAAAATAATCTTCAATATCTCTTAAACAAAAGTAGCACAAACAATATTTTTTTCTGCACAAATCTGCACTAACGTTGCACTAACCATTCAGTCTATTTGCAGAGTTTTTTGACGTGGGTGGGGTGTCAGCTTCACGCAGCTGCGCACGAGTCCTATCATGAAAAAAGGTTCATTGTGCGACCTGAGTAACGCGCAGTAACGGGGTGCCTGCAATGGTAACTGCGTTATAGTTACAGTCAAAGTAATTAGTTAGATTACTCGTTACTAAAACAAGGTAACGGCGTTACTTTCAACGCCGTTAGTCCCATCACTGGTCGTTACTATATTTTTATTTGACAAACTGGATCTTCTCGACGTTCTTTTTCCTGTTTGGGGCAAATGCAATTACGGATCTTGACCTGGAGCGGAGCAGAAAATAGCTCTGCTCCATATTTTGACAGTGACGGACGGAGAAAACATACGTGGACGGTGAGGTGCTGAGGAGTAGCGGTGGATGTGGAACAGCTCTCATTGATTGACATGACAGACAAGCACTCCGCATGACGTACGTGAGTGGGGAGGAGCGCTGATGGAGGATGTGGAATCTGGGGGTAAAGTTCTCCACCTTCTGCTGTGAAAGGTGAGAAAGGTGAGCTTCAGTGACTGTCTGAAACCGTAGCTCACCAGTTACACGCCTGAAGTGTGCAGAAAAAGACAGCTAATGGAACGAACACGTAGGACGGCCTTACGTAAACATTTCACCAGATTGACTGACAATTGGGAGGACCACTGATTTGGATGATCCACCTGGAAATAAAAGATCCTCCTCTATACCTTTAAATACTACGGTAGTATTGAAACACCCAGATTATTCGAGTTTACTATGAAGCTGGATATAAAGTGTGATGTAATGAGACCTGGCTCGCAGACGTCATGTGACTGGGGTGCATTCGAAAACCCTTTACATTGACACTTCTCCTGCAATGAGCAAAATGGCTCAAGCATAATATCATTACTGAACTCCTTACCTTGGTATTTGGTCCTTTGGCTCTTCTTGGTTCGCCTTTGATGTTGTTTTTGGCTCCGCCCCTTTATTAGAGAGGTTCCACGGTAGACTCTCAGCTGCCTCGACACCTGAACACAAAGACAGAGGAACAGGTCTGACCTCTGACCCTCTCCAGCTTCATCAGGCCGCTTCTGGTCAGGTTTCCAGGGGAGTCCTACCTGAGTTCTGTCCGAGCTTCTGCTCCTCCGCTTCTTCACCAACCTCCACCTCCTCATGGCTCTGCGGATCTGGGAGCGATGATTCGTCTCCTAAAGTCAAATAAACAGCATCAACATCTGAGCTGCAACGTCACAAAGCGCTGCTAAAACTACAGCCGAAACAGAACAAACCAAACAGGTACGGAAGAGGATTAGGGCCAATGAAAAAAGAAAATATTTTTACATGTTTTTTAAATATTATTTCTGTTTAATATGGGAAAAAAGTCAGCATTCTCACTTTAACCTCAGAATTCTGACTTTTTTCTGAGATTAAAGTCAGAATTCTGAGAAAAATGGTCATAATTCTGAGATTAAAGTCAGCATTCTGAGAAAAATGGTCATAATTCTGAGATTAAAGTCAGCATTCTGAGAAAAAATGTCATAATTCTGAGATTAAAGTCAGCATTCTGAGAAAAAATGTCATAAATCTGAGATTAAAGTCGTCATTCTGAGAAAAAAATGACATAATTCTGAGATTAAAGTCAGCATTCTGAGAAAAAAAGTCATAATTCTGAGATTAAAGTCAGCATTCTGAGAAAAAAAAGTCATAATTCTGAGATTAAAGTCAGCATTCTGAGAAAAAAGCTTATAATTCTGAGATTAAAGTCAGCATTCTGAGAAAATATTGTCATAATTCTGGGATTAAAGTCAGCATTCTGAGAAAAAATGTCATAATTCTGAGATTAAAGTCAGCATTCTGAGAAAAAAGGTCAGAATTCTGAGATTAAAGTCAGCATTCTGAGAAAAAATGGTCAGAATTCTGAGATTAAAGTCAGCATTCTGAGAAAAAATGTCATAATTCTGAGATTAAAGTCAGCATTCTGAGAAAAAATTGTCATAATTCTGAGATTAAGTCAGCATTCTGTGAAAAAATGTCATAATTCTGAGATTAAAGTAAGCATTCTGAGAAAAATGGTCATAATTCTGAGATTAAGTCAGCATTCTGAGAAAAAAGGTCATAATTCTGAGATTAAAGTCAGCATTCTGAGAAAAATGGTCATAATTCTGAGATTAAGTCAGCATTCTGAGAAAAAATGTCATAATTCTGAGATAAAAGTCAGCATTCTGAGAAAAAGGTTATGATTCTGAGATTAAAGTCAGCATTCTGAGAAAAAATGTCATATTTCTGAGATTAAGTCAACATTCTGAGAAAAAATGTCATAATTCTGAGATTAAAGTCAGCATTCTGAGAAAAAATTGTCATAATTCTGAGATTAAAGTCAGCATTCTGAGAAAAAAAGTCATAATTCTGAGATTAAAGTCAGCATTCTGAGAAAAAAGGTCAGAATTCTGAGATTAAAGTCAGCATTCTGAGAAAAATGGTCATAATTCTGAGATTAAGTCAGCATTCTGAGAAAAAATGTCATAATTCTGAGATTAAAGTCAGCATTCTGAGAAAAAGGTTATGATTCTGAGATTAAAGTCAGCATTCTGAGAAAAAATTGTCATAATTCTGAGATTAAAGTCAGCATTCTGAGAAAAAATTGTCATAATTCTGAGATTAAAGTCAGCATTCTGAGAAAAAAAGTCATAATTCTGAGATTAAAGTCAGCATTCTGAGAAAAAAGGTCAGAATTCTGAGATTAAAGTCAGCATTCTGAGAAAAAAGGTCATAATTCTGAGATTAAAGTCAGCATTCTGAGAAAAATGGTCATAATTCTGAGATTAAGTCAGCATTCTGAGAAAAAATGTCATAATTCTGAGATTAAAGTCAGGATTCTGAGAAAAAGGTTATGATTCTGAGATTAAAGTCAGCATTTTGAGAAAAAATTGTCATAATTCTGAGATTAAAGTCAGCATTCTGAGAAAAAATTGTCATAATTCTGAGATTAAAGTCAGCATTCTGAGAAAAAAAGTCATAATTCTGAGATTAAAGTCAGCATTCTGAGAAAAAAGGTCAGAATTCTGAGATTAAAGTCAGCATTCTGAGAAAAAAGGTCATAATTCTGAGATTAAAGTCAGCATTCTGAGAAAAATGGTCATAATTCTGAGATTAAGTCAGCATTCTGAGAAAAAATGTCATAATTCTGAGATTAAAGTCAGCATTCTGAGAAAAAGGTTATGATTCTGAGATTAAAGTCAGCATTCTGAGAAAAAAGGTCATAATTCTGAGATTAAAGTCAGCATTCTGAGAAAAAATGTCATAATTCTGAGATTAAAGTCAGCATTCTGAGAAAAAAATTTTATAGTCTGAGTTTTAAAAAAGCCCAGAAATTTTTGGAAAGAAAAAGGGGTCTTAATTCTGAGTTTTAAAGTCAGCATTCTGAAAAAAAAAAGTAAATAATTCTGAGATTAAATTTCAGCATTTGAGAAAAAAGGTTATACGTCTGGGAAAAATTTCCAGAAAATTCTGAGAAAAAATGTCAAAATTTTGAGTTTTAAAGTCAGAAACTTGAGAAAAAGGGTTAATAATTTGAGTTTAAAAAGTAAAGCATTCTGGGGAAAAAAGGTTATAATTCTGAGTTTTAAAAGTCAGCATTCTGGGGAAAAAAAAAATTGTCATAAATTTGGGAGTTTAAAAAGTCAGCATTTGAAAAAAAAAGGGCCCCAAAATTTTCTGAAAAATTAAAATTTCAGCATTCTGAGAAAAAAAGTTCAAAAAATTTTCTGATTTTTAAAAGGGTCGCATTTCTGAGAAAAAAAAGTTATAATTCTGAGTTTAAAAAAAAAAATTTTTCAGCATTTCTGAGTTTAAAAAGCCCAAAAGCATTCTGAGTTTTAAAAGTCAGCTTTTCTGAAAAAAAAAAGGAATTCTGAAAAATTTTAAAGTCAGAATTCTGGGGGAAATAAAAGTCAGAATTCTGGAGAAAAGTCAGAATTCTGAGAAAAATTTCCTTGCAAAGGGAGAACATACAGTCTGTGAAAGAGCAGGAAGGGCTGTGAAGGTTAACCACTTTCAGTTTAATCCAAAAAAAGTTAAAAAAAAAACAGGAGAGGCTGAATGAATGTTTTGGGTCAAAAGGAGTCGGGCCCCTTTTAAAAAAACATTCACACTGAAAAAAACCAGAAAGATAAGCCTACACCCTAGCAGGTGCCCCTTCCCTTCAGCAAATACTTTGGGGGAAACAAACCCAGAGAAAGCCTTCACAATCACAGTTATTTAACCAAAATGGGTAAAAAAAATTTTTCTACTAACACAATAAAATTTTTTTTATTTCATGGAACTTTATATTTATGCATTTCATTATAAAAGTGGGCCCTGCATAAACCTAAGGAACTAAATTACAAACCGTTCTTTTAATGACTCGGTGCATCGTGACTCTGATCTCTATTTATTCACTTCGTTGTCTGATAGGCCGAAAAAAACTGAAGTCACTTGCCGCCATCTTGGTACTCCCTACTTTCATGGAGTCACACCATAAAAATGCCTGTAATATACTGTAATTACAATAACAATGTAATCGATATATTTACATTATATGTACATCATCAATTTGGCACTTTTGGCACATCATCAGATATAGGGAGTTTCTAATATTCCTAATATATGACTACATTCTTATTATGCTCCATTAAGACATACATTTTATTGTGATGGATTTTTAAATTACGTTATATTATATGATTTATAGACTTCATACCGACTACGCAACATCATGTGCCTATTTTTAACATAAATGACAGTAATCTACAGAAGCTATGAAACAAAAAAGTTAAAAAAACGAGTTAAAACAATTCCCTGGACTTTGTTTTTTAAATTTGAAGACGTTTCACTCCTAATCCAGGAAGCCTGTTTTTTTTTTCTGTTTTTTCTTCCCACAAAGTTTACATTTGATCACTGCTGCACTTTAAGAAACGGAAATATCATGAAAGCCGTATAAAAGGAAATTTTGTTTTGTATATACTCTGTGTGTACAAAATGACAATAAAGTTTGTCTAAATATTGTTAAAGAAAAATGATTATTTTTTAGACTTTATTACAGTTAATCTTATGGCATGTGTAAACACTCTCACTTGAACATATTTCTTAATTTTGAACAAGGCTGTGTTAATGATTTAAAACTACTAATGGGTAAGTATTCAAAGCACAGGAGGCCTTAAAATGAGTATCTCCTGGGGGGTGAATAACAGTTAAGCCTGCAGGAGAGATTTCTGCTTGGTTTACAGAAGGTCAAAAGTCTTCCAGAATAAACAACCAGGGATGGTGAGGCCCCCCGCATTCCACAAGCTGTCTGTGAGAGCTTATCTTGTGTTTTATGACTTTAGGAATTCTAGATGCCAGGACAAGCTTTCCGCCTTTTCTTGTTAAAACAAAGAAGCAAATGACCCCAGATGTTTGCAAAAAAATTTAAGGGGAACCCCTAGCAAGTGTCAGGGGATGGCTTTTTGGTTGGGGGGGCCCGGAGGGCCCACCCCCTTTTTAAAATTTGGAATTAGAAAACAAGAGGATAAAAAGTTTTTCAAAATAGAAGAAAAAGATCAAAATTTCCCCTTTGGGCAACTCCCCAAAGATGTTTTCTGTATCTTTGCTTTTTTTTCCCCCTGTGTCAGGTAAGGGAATGTATGTCTCTGTTGTTCTGCAGTTTTTTTGGTGTGGGTTTTTGTGCATTGTCTTTTTTTAATTTTAATGCATTGTTTTATTGGAAAATTTAAAATCTGTAATTCTGTGACGTCAAACCCCGGGAATGTTGGTTTTATTAACCCAAAAGCAGCTGCCCAGGGGACTTTGGGGGAAAGGGAAGAAACAGAAGGGCCCAAACTTTTTTCCCAAAGTTAACAAAAGTTTAGAAATTTTCTTCCCCTTTTCCCAAATTGGGGGGCTTTTGTGCCGGGTTTGGGTCTCGAGCGGGGCCCGGCTGTTTTGGGCCTGATTGATCCCTTTCGGCCCCAAAGCCTTTCCCGGGGTTTGGGGAAGGGAAATTTTTGGGTTATTTTTTAGTTGTCTGAAGCGCCGTGTGGTCGGACCGGGGGTGGGTTTTTCTGGTGCGGCCTCACAGAATTTGGGAAACTGCCCGAGGTTTGATTTGGATCGTCCTAGAAGAGTCGGTTGTTTTTTAAAGGTTTTGAATAAAATAACAAAATTAAAAGGGAAAATGTGGCTAGTTCAAAAAAGAGCCTTTACGTTAAAATCCGACTTAAACTG